CCCGCCCTCCCCTCCGCACCCCCCCCCCCCCCCCCCCCGCCCCGTCGGCCATTTCCTCAAGCTCCCAGAACTGTTTGTGTCAGACATCACCGAGCAAAACCAAGAAAGCGTGGGGAGGGGGGGACGGGTTGCGGTGGGGAGGGCGGGGTGTTTTCTAACCTGTTCTCGCCGGCGCTTCGCCTCCCCTCTCTCCTGCTTCTTTTGCTTGGCTTCCAGCTCTCGCTGCTTCTCGAACACGCGCTGGCGATGCTCCGCCTCGGTGGCATGCCTGGCACAACGCGAACACGTCTCCACAGAGGGAAGGGAGCGGGTCAGGTGTTTTCGGGGAAGAACGGCAATCGATACATGAGCCCCACAACTTGACAAGGTACAACTAGCACCCATGTGTTATGTAGCGGGATAGCAATTCACCCAAACGAGAAGGGAGCCAAAACACAGGCCTACTGGAGGGATATCAGCACACCGACACAAGAAGGGAGCAAAGAACGCACAGACGTACTGGGGGGATGGATATCAGCACACCCACACAAGAAGAGCAGCAAAAAATCACAAAAAAAAGAGGTAGCAACGAGCACACACACACACAGACACACACAGGGGAGATCGCAAACCACACCGCTCCGCCAGAGAGGAGAAAACACTCACAGCGATGGGACGCTCGGTCCCGGGGCATGCTCCGCCGTGGCACCAAGGGCGGCAGTAGCAATAGCGCCACCACCACCACCACCACCACCACCAACCACCACCCGCTGCCACCGCCACCGGCACCGGCAGCAGCCGGGGAAGCGGCCTCCGACGCTCGACCACCACCAACCGAAGAGCCACCTAGTCGAAGGGCATCGGTGCTGCCGCTACCGCCAGCGGAATCAGCAGCAGCAGCAGCAGCAGCAGCAGCCGAAGGACTATTGCCATCGCCGGGGGGGGGCGCTTGTCGAGCGGGGAGGGGGGGGGGGGGGGGCGCCGTCCCAGTTGAGGATCAGGGCGAACGCCCGCTCGGCGTTGCCGTTGGCCGACAAGGCGGCTACCTCCGCGGCATGCCTCTGACGGAGCAAGCAGGCGGGGGGGGGGGTCGGTCGATTGGAACGGGGATCATGTTACGTGCAATGTTTTGTGAAAGATATTGATATCGGCAGCGGGGGAGGGGGGGTTGTGTTTGGCGCGTAAACTCGTGATGCATGCGTGGCGGCACACCCTCCGGTTCTTCTTAACTGTGATGCGTGAGGAGGGCAGGGGGGGGCGCGGTCGAGCGGTTGGGGGAAGGAAAGGGTCTGAACAACGGAGGGCATTGACGCCAAAATACACGAACTCTGTGGACGAGATACATACGGAGTCGGAAGCTCTGAGCGATGCTGCTGCGTCATGCGACACAACAGCAGTGACGTGGGATGCCCGACGCCCGCGCGGTGTTCCTCAGCGATGTGTCGGAGAACAAAACATTCGTCTACCTGCACGTCGTTTGTGCCCGCGTGACTAACGGACAAACTTCATGATTTTGTGTAGGCAAAGGGGAGAGGGGAGCCAGGCGTGTAGAAAGCAGCGTAGGAAAGGGCTCGGGTAGTCGCGACGCAGGCGTGATCGTAGTTCTTCCTTAACTTCAAAAGCAACAGCAGTTCTCCGTGCAAGACACACATGGCAGGGTCTGCGGAAAAAAGGAGAGCGCATTTGCTCTGTAGGAGTGCAGCGTTCCAGACTTCACCTCGTCAGTTCCGATAATATTCGTTGGGGAAGAGAGTGCCGGCCTTTGTACTACGAAGACGTGATGTTCTTGTAAGAGAACAAAAAATAAAAGCCGAAGGTGCCCATGGCGTTGACCCTCATTTCAATCCAGGGGTGTTTCCGCAAGAGGGTACTACATGCGTGGTGTATGCATACACTCAAAGGCCCTTCTCAGCAAACCCCTTGTTGTGCGACGGTTAAACGCTTTTGGCGACACGCCTTAACACCAAAATGTGGGGCATGAACCCTGCGACAGAACATGCCCACCACCACATCAGCAGTTCGTTCCAACATGTACAAAAAGTCCACAACGCAGCAGTTCAAAAACTACTATACACGAGTTCGAGTCCGGTTCGACTCGAAGACATGGGTATTGCCCTCGGCAGAAACATCGAGCCTCCGGTGTCTTCGCGTTCTTGTGCGCGCCCCTGATCTTTCCCGCCCTGCCCCCTGTACTGCTGTAGAGCCCACATTGGCAGGCAGTGGCATGGCATGCATTCGACGAGGGCGTATATACGCAAGAGCTGGCGAGCTTGGGGTGTGGGTGTGGTGTACAGCAGTGTTTGGGGTTTTGCCATACTGTGCGTTAGGGCTATGCTGTGGTGTACAGCCTGAGGTCTGGAAAAATATTTTGTGTCTACCTCCAACCACAACCCCAAAACCGTTGAACTGGCGAGTGCAAGAAAGTTGCCAGCTTTGCGTATCATACACGCGCGTCCGCATGCATTCTGGTTGCCGTGATGACCGGGAGTGCTCGTGTTCGAGCGAATTCGTACACGATAGAGCCGGTACAATTGGCGTCCCAGAAACCTGGTAGCTGGGGAGCTAGCTGTGCATAGACGTAAAAGGGATGTCGATTGGAGAGACCATTGCGGCAAGGAAGACCTGAAGCACTTGCTTGGGTGTGTTCGGCCAAGCTGTTCCGGGTGATTGGCTTGATGCATGAGGGCCGAGGCAGCAGGGCAGATCGATCGGATCAACCTCTATGCTTAGCTACACGGACAAATCGGCGGGGCACACAGCACTAGCCGCGCACACACGACCACACCCGTGTGTAGCCCGACCAAGCTACGCTACCCTATCATCCCATAACCCTCTCTTCCTCCAGCCGTCGAACACTGCTCGCTTTCCATTGTCTTCCCCATCACAGATCTCTCTCGCTAAATAGGACACGTGCACACGCGACGATCTTGTAGAGGGGCCTTGGTCGCGCAGCACGTTCCATGTTCGATTCTCTCCGATACTTCAACTGACCACATTCATGGCGTACTTGCCTCGAAACCCGCGTCCACTAGCTGCTCAACGACGGCCTCATTGCCCCCAGCATCTCCCATTGTTTTCCGTGGAGGCGGTGTCGCGGAAAGGTGATTGCAGCGGAGAGAAAGACTGCTGCGTCGCTGCTACTGCTGTGTGTGTGCACTGCAGGCTGGTGGTTTTTGGGGGGTCCGTGCATCGGCAGAAAAAAGGGTACATACGTGCCTCTTCCATTCTGTGCTTCCATTCTGTGCCCCTTCAGCGCGTGTCCAAGCAATTGTTGTGTCCAAGGCGTCTCCAAGTGTCACTTGCAAGCTGCGCAACGATTTTCCTGCCATGCATAGGACTCCTAGTCTTTGGTTGCGCATGTACACCAGTATTTACAGCACGTAAAGATGTTGGCTCGGACAATATCTGTGCGCATGATACTGCCAGAGGAATCGATTGGGTTTTTGCAGCATTGTGCGCAAAAAGCGGCGGGTTGGATCTTTGGCTGTTTGGTTGGGGGGTACATACAAAGATTGGATATTGTTGACCCTGACACGGCGGCAGAAGGCAGTTTTGAACATATTGCGTTCCTCCAGGGGAAGAGGGAAGGGGGGCGCACCCACCGCCGAGGCCCCCGAAGAGAAGGGCGTGCGCGGAATTGTCTATTTCACTCCCTCGGCAACGTAGCGTGAGTGTGGATACCGAGACGGACAGGCCGGACCTGACTCATTCTTGATATCTCTTCTCTACTATCGTCGAATGACAAGGCTGCAACGCTGCACGCATCTGTGTGGCGGCGCCTGGAAGAAGGTAGACACAAGAGGTGCTTCCACGCCGGCCGTTGTAGATCAAATACCGGAATCCGCGCGCGATCTGCCGTTGACACCGCCATCAACCTCGGTCGGTGGTCCCACACAGCACGCTGGCTAGTTCTCGGTGCGTATTGGTGAGTTTCGGGCGATAGGGTATACAAAAAAACGTGAGCGCCTTGGGTAATAACGGCCCCTGGCATTGTTTGGCTGACACAAATAAGTGTTTCACTCTCACAGCAGTGTCTGTCTCTTCTTTCCCCAAAACACCGAGGGGGGGGGATCCAACCCCCCCACCACACCGTGTACCACAACACCACAAAAACTGCTACTGTACCGTAAATCTTGTATTCACCTCACCACCGGACACGTGTTCACGTACATGTACATGGTTGACCATTTGGCCAGCGGTCAGTGGGTGTGCGTTGGAGACGTGGCCGTGCTGTAACGGTCTCGTTTCATTCATTTCACGTATGTATGTGGTATCCACCTCGCCGCAGGCCAAAACTACGTGTGTGGTCATTTGGCCAGCGAGTGCGCTGAATACATGCCGCCAGCGTGTTGGCGGTCTCAAACAGCATGCCCTCAGCAACAGCAGTAGAGGGACGGATCCGAATCCGGATCCGACGGGTATATGTGTACATTTTGGACCCAACCGGATATTTCATTCGCACAGGCGGACATAGCATACGAAGGCATGTCTCGCACAATGGTGGGACTGTTCAATCTCGGGCACACCACAGCTTTTGCTGCATGCTATTCATTGTACAAGTGCATTGCAGGTCAAATACCGTTGGCAGTACGACGATTGGCACGGCAATTAACTTCGGTCGGTGGTCCCGCATCACAGCACGCGGGTCAGTTTCGGCGCGGTTCTTGGCGCAGAACAAATTGATGAGTTTCTGGCGATAGAGCATAGGAACGAACGTGAGCGCCGTGGATAGCAACAGGCCCTGGGATTGTTTGGCTGGCACAAAGAAGTGTTTAGTCTCACAGATTTGTCTCTTCGAGCGCGGTCTTGATTGATAGGGAGTTTGGCTGGCACAAAGTGGTTCAGTCTCACTGTGTCTGTCTCCCATATTCTTTTCCCCAAACACCCGGGGGGGGGATCCAACCCCCCCCACCACACCACCAGATCATAAGAACCACTATTGCTGAATAATAAATCCTGAATCAATCTCACCGCTGGACACGTGTCCTCGTAGATACGTGGTCGGCTCTTAGACCAGCGGGTTTGTGTTGAAGACGTGGCAGTGCTGTAACGGCCTCAAGCGATGTATCGACAGCATGCATTAGGAACGGAAGACGGGCATGATTCATGATAGGACGGGTAACGGGGGGCTTCTGTAGGTTCTATACCAGAGTACGGTGTTTCGTCAAGAAATAGATTTAAGCTGGTTTCTCGGAAGATGTCGATATCGGGACTGATTTGTGATTCATGTGCAACTCCTCGACGAGTTTCGTCGGCGTTGCCTGTCTGAAGGTTCCGTTGTTTTTTTTACGGGAAGCCGCAACTGCTTACTACTGTACGGTTACACTCTCGAGAGCGAGAACATAGTAAGTGGAGAATGAAGACGTCCAGACCGCAACGAAGACCATGAAACTATGGTGCCGACGATGACAAAGCCAAAGAAGTAAATCCGAAGAAAGCCTACGACGACAAGATACATACAAAACAAGAAGTAAGCGCGAAGAAATCGCATGAAGATACGCCTCTGAGCAGTTCTCCTCGATGGGCTGACAGGGCCTGAAGTATGTTGGTCGTTTGGCGACAGGCTTCCACCGGATGGGCAGCAGCGGCACCGGCGGCGAGAGGGGTGACCCCCGGCGGCAGAGTTCGCCCTGCGGCGGCGGCGGCGGGGACGGGGGAGACGGTCGGGGCGCAGGCAATCGCTGAGGGAGCGGC